CGAACTTCAGCTCTAGAGCTGAATTTTTGTTTTGCAACTGATGAACTTCATCTCTAGAGCTAAAGTTTTTGTTTTTGTAACTAGCGAACTTCAGCTCTAGAGCTGAATTTTTGTTTTGCAACTGATGAACTTCATCTCTAGAGCTAAAGTTTTTGTTTTTGTAACTGGCGAATTTCAGCTCTAAAGCTGAAGTTTTTGTTTTGTAACTGATGAACTTCAGCTCTAGAGCTAAAGTTTTTTGTTTTTGTAACTGGCGAACTTCAGCTCTAGAGCTGAGGTATTTAAAACCCTTGAGTATGTACTGCTGAAGTTTCTATTTTGGGGGAGGAAGATTGACCTTTCAAATTCCATATTCTAAGTATGGATATGACTTCATTGATTTATTCTCGATCGAAACATCGAGGAACGCACTATGGTTCTGCTTGACCATAGCATCTCAACGATGGAGACAGTGTCAAGGGGATTCAGAGAAATGCAAAAATATATTTGAGATTTGAACTAATGACGTAAAAAAACATTTTGAGCCACATCAACCATATCACAAAAAGGTTTTCTTACGTTATAATTATTTTAATTATGTATAGTAAGATAGCTTCTGAGGAATTGAGTGAAGCCACAAAAAGAGAGAGATATTGTTACATCAATGTTAAGTTCCGGAGAGATATGGAGATTACTGGGAGAAGGAGGAGAAAGGGGGCTGAAATTGTTTAAAAAGTGGGTACAAGTTAAAAGTTAAAAAAAAAATAAGAATAAATTAAATGGGGGCGACCAAATAAGATGCTCCGTGCAATTTTTACATGCTATTTTCACCAAATTAATCTGGCCCTACTGCTTGTTCTCGGCCCAATAAGTCTTGTTAGCCCAACAGCTACTTGTGTGACATTGGGCTGTTGATTCATAACAAAGGCACACTTGTCAAAACGACAAGTCCGCGTCTTTCCCGAAACCGCCACTGCCTCAAAATAACCCCTTTATCATACAATCGCAAATTCCAGAATCCAGAATTCCAGATTCTACGCAACATTTTCTTCATTCGGTTGACAAAGGGAAGAGGTTTCTTTTTCCGATCAGAAAAAATGGCACTGAATCCTCAACTATTTCCAAACGGAATGCCCGTCCCTTTCCTCAATGAATTGTTTGTCCTTTCTAGAGATGGTGTTGAGTTTGAGATCGATAAAATCCCTGGGTAACCGGCCTAACTTTTATTTCTCTCTTTTAAATTAGTTATCTCTGAAAGAATCGGATCGAAATGGAGTAAAATGGATATTCTGGAATTAGGATTGAAAGAAAATAGTTTGGGATCGAGGTTTGATTATAGATGCTATCTTTCTATTGTTTCTTTGGGTCTGTATATAGTGCATCATTAATTTTTACCATTTTCATTTCGTTAATCGTTATCCGTAATGGGTTTCTTTCTGTTGAACATTTTTTTTTTGTGATTCTGATTTCTGCTTTAGAGATTACTAATAAATGTTGGTCTGCTTACACGCTATCTTCCCCACACCCCACTATGGGGTTACAATGGGTTTTTTTGTTGTTGTTGAGAACTTTGAGATGATGCATTTGGATATGTTACAATTGCAGTAGTTGGTGCTCCTAATGCATTAGGGGTTTTGCCTGCATTTCTCTACCATGGACACAAAGAGGGTGTTCAAAAAGCAGCATCAATAGCAGTAGCTGCAACAATATAAATTGCACTTTTCAACTTATGCATGCTATACTACTACTACCATTTACTTCTACCTATAAAAAACTATCCACCATTTGTTTCCATTTAATATGGTTATGGGGGTGAACTTGCTTGGGATGCAGTATGAACTGCTCAACATGTGAGTACAGATGTCTGTATGATTTTGGGCTTGCTAAGATATATTCACATGGATACTTTAAAAGAATTAAATGTCTCAACACAGGCTTGGACATTTGATCAGTTGGTAGGTTAGTGCATAAGGAAATTATTTATACCACTTAGGTGGTAGTTAGAAATTGCACAAGGAACTTATTTATCATTTATGTGGATATACGGTATAGAGGAATAAGGTAGTTATTACATTTGGCTGTTGAGTTTGCATGGGATGCCTGCATTTGCTTTATTTTGTGTTTAGTTCTACCTTTCTTTGAACACATAATTCTTGCATTGCCCTCTCTTTTTTTCTTTCTCCTTTTCTTTAGTTTCTTTTAGTTCATGACTTTGTGTTGACGAGACTGTTTGCTCACAGTGCAGGAAAAATAAGAACAAGAGGAACGATCTACTTGTCGAATATTCGGATGGTCTTCGTTGCAAAGAAGCCGGAGGATTTCATTGCTTTTGACATGCCCTTGGTATGTTACACTTATGTCCTACGTGCTAGCAGGGTCATATGTTGGGTTCCAGTTCCTCGTCTGAGAAGATTTTTTCTCACGGATCAAAGAAGACAACTTTTTTTTACTACTTTTACTAAAATGTCAAGATGTTATTATCAAAACCATAGTAAAGAGGAAATATTTGTTTAATCAAAGTGAAGGGATAACGTGTTCATCTCTGACTCCATTGATAGTTTCCCAAAAGTTAAAAAGGCGTGACCTTGTATAGCGTTCCATGAAAATCATATGCAACCGGAACAAGAAATGCATAATGTGCAATTTAGGATATGGTGGTTTAGAGGTAAAAAAAAAGAAGAAGACAATATTCTTATCCCAAGTTGCTTTACCTGCGTGTGTGCCACTTGCATTGCTGCAGGTGGCAGAGCAGTAAACATTTGAATTTTGAATACGTCGTAGCTCCGACGTGTATAAGATACCTAAAAGCCTGTTGTCTGGTTGATGCTAGCTTCATGTAGCATACTATTTCTTGCGTATATCACCTTAGATTCGGCTCGTCCAGTGTTGGTCAATCTTGCTGCTGTGCCTTTTTTTGTTGTTGGGATAAGGTTGCTTCTGTAGTTTCTGGTACTTTCTCTGTTGCTTCATGTCCCACGGTTTTCCTAGTGTTATGCTTTGCTGAATCCTGTTTTTTTTCTTGCTTTCGTTTTTGTTAATCTTTTAGCTCTTTGTTCTCAAAATAATCCTAGATTATACAAGCTACTTTTGCTTGACCAAGTTTAACTTCATTCTGCAGCTCTTTATTCATGATGAAAAATTTAATCAACCAGTATTCCACTGCAACAATATTTCCGGACATGTTGATCCGGTAAGTTGAATAGATAAATTCAGATATGTTTGGATTATGCGCACTACTTTAGATGATCGATTCTGGCCAATTTCAGGTTGTTCCAGATAATGAAAACAGGGCTTTGTACTCCACACATTCATTCAAAATTTTGTTCAAGGAAGGTGGTTGTGGGACTTTCGTGCCATTATTTTTCAATTTAATCGCCTCCGTGAGACGATCTCAGCAACAGTCCACTGCAGAGCCACGGGTGGATCCTCTCCAAGCTGCACAAACTCCAGTTGATGAGATGATGAGACATGCGTATGTCACGTTGCTTGTACCTTTTACAATTAAAATTGTTATAGATCCTTTTTCTCAATATGCTAGCTGGTGTGCTGAATACTTATTGTTTTTGTCAATTTTGCAGTTATGTTGACCCCAATGATCCAACCAAAATCTACTTGCAGCAGCCTAATTCAGAGTCTGAACTCAGGCGTCGATCATACCAGTCACAGCCTGCTTAGAACTCGATATACCTCTTTGTTTAAAGCTACCTGAATTTCGCGTTTTCTGTGACAATGAGCTTGCATGTGTATATTATGTAAGGCTGGTATATGTTTCTTTCAGGTGTGCATGGATTATAATCTATTATATGGGTGATACACTAGACTAATGACTTCCTACAAATATCTGTAATAATTTTGAAGCTCATGTTCATTACACGGGTATATATACAGGGGCGGATGTAGAGTGTTGATGAATTGAACCCTAGCTTTCGACGCGGAGTAAAAATTCATTAAAATTACAAAAATAATAAATATGAACCCATAATTTTAAAAATATGATGGATTCAATGCTAAAACATTAAAAGTAGAACCCATAGAGTTTAAATCCTGGATTCGCCTCTCTCTCTATATATATAGCATATTAGGTTTTGCACTGGAAGTGCAGAACACCTACTCCCTACCAGGGTAATTTGAAAGAATGGCTGTAAAAATAAATTGGTTGTATTAGCCTGTATGTTACAAATTGGGTGCAAAAGAGTCTCTTTGCAGAAATGTTGGGAGAAAGCTGCATACAATATATATCCACTCCTTTTCATAGTGAGGGGTGGATCTTCCTTCTCTTGTGGGTTTATCATTGTGCTCAATTCGATCTATATACAGCTGAATATTTTTTATAGGTTTTATCTTAAAATTTTGAAATCCATGCGAAGTTAATAAAAAGTATATAATGCCATGGAAGCAAATGATGCAATTGATCCATATAGCCGCAGAGGTGGATCAATGTTTTCAAGAGGATGGGTGAACTAATTGTAAAGAGGTAGAGTTAGAATTTACATTTAACATGTTTAATTTTAGTCTATGAACAACTCGCTACACTTTTGAAATTACAAATTCAAAATTATGTTCTTTTTGAAATTTTAGTGATTTTTATATATATCTATATTCCGTGTTGGAAATAAGACTATCCGAAATGAAATTTGAATCGTTAAATTCACTCGTAGAGGTGCATCCAATAATTATTGCACCATAAGAGTTTTTGAGCATGAGTGCACACATATATTTAAGTAATTTTGAAGAAATATAACATCGCTATACATAATTTAGGGAGAGGAGTATGGGTATTCTAAGACCTAGATACGCCCCTACATATAGGTGATATCTACTAGTTGGAACTAATGCATGGTCATCATTGCTAATATTTAGGTTTATGATGCACCATTTTCTATTTGGTTAGAGATTTGTAAGTGTTGGAGTAGGAATTCATCCTTAATCCAAAAGTCATATTTTAGGAATTTATAGGTAGGAGATAAGTTCCAAAGAAGAATAGAATCCTCATATACACTACACTACACTACAGAGGGATATACTTCAAAATGAGTAAGAATAACAACCGAAAAGGAGTACAAATGGTACAGCATGTTTCTGAATAAAAGATATGCTACAAAACTTCTCAGTACGAATCACCTTTTGTTTTTCTCGCCAAACAAGAAAAACATTTCCATCTAGGATACAAATGAACAAAGCCTAGTAGTTAAATTTGCTTAAGAACTTTTTCAGCTGCAGCTACCGTCCTTTGAATGTCCTCTGAAGTGTGTGCTAAGCTAGTAAATCCAGCCTCAAACTGTGATGGTGCAAAATATACACCTTCCTCCAGCATTCCCCTATAGAATCTGCCAAATTTTTCTGTATCACTCTTCTTTGCATCCGAAAAGTTATTGACAGGACCCTCCACGAAAAAGAAGCCAAACATCCCCCTTATGTACCCGCCACACATTGCATGCCCGGTCTTCTTTCCAGCATCCAAGATTCCTTGAGTAAGTTCACCCGTGATCTTGTCCAAGTAGTCGTATGTACCCGGTCCCTGTAACCGCTTAAGCGTGTGAATTCCAGCAGTCATGGCCAATGGGTTTCCACTTAGTGTCCCGGCCTGATACATCGGACCTGCAGGTGCTACCATCTCCATAATATCCCGCCTTCCTCCGTATGCACCTACTGGCAAGCCACCGCCGATAATCTTCCCAAGTGTCGTCAAATCTGGAGTTATTCCAAAATACTCCTGAGCTCCGCCATATGCCAACCTAAATCCAGTCATGACTTCGTCGAAAATAAGAAGTGCATCATTTTCTTTGGTGATCTTGCGAATGGCAGCAAGAAAATCTGGATTAGGTTGAATGAAGCCAGCATTTCCAACTACAGGCTCAAGAATTATAGCAGCGACTTCGCCTTTGTGCTCCTTAAAGAGGCTCTCAACAGCAGAAATATCATTGTAAGGCGCTGTCAGTGTATCAGTAGTAGCTGCCTTTGGAACTCCAGGGGAGTCGGGGAGTCCTAGGGTGGCAACACCACTGCCTGCTTTAACAAGAAATGGATCAGCATGACCATGGTAACAACCCTCGAATTTGATGATCTTAGGCCGGCCAGTGAAAGCACGAGCCAGCCGTAGTACTCCCATGCACGCCTCTGTACCGGAGTTGACAAACCGAACCATTTCTATGCTTGGAACAGCTGAAATAACCATCTCGGCCAGAGTGTTTTCAAGG